TAATTCAAGTCCAGAATGAGAGCAGATAGCTCGCAGAACCCTTTTGCCTTCTATTGTTCGATAGCCTTAGCACTACTCATCCAATTGATCTTCAGCTTTAGACAAGTGAAAAGGATAAAGGCTGTGCCTGTCGTGTTCACTGCTAGATCTCACACATCTTTCCCAGTGCATATGTAAAAATATATATTCTTTCCTTTGCTCTGACATGGGCTAGAGTGAGACATTTCAAATGCATACTTATGTTGGATAAAGTGACCTTGAGATGACTGGCAATTCCATCACTTCCAATACATTATCATTTCTTTGTGCAGAGAATATTCTACTCCAGTAGCTATTATTCAGTATTGAATTGCTATCAACTATTGTGACCCTCCTATTCTTATCAAACGTTAGAAGTCATTCCTTCTGTCTAATGTAACACATGACTTTCAATAAGTGAATGAAGGAATACATGTTCAGAGAAGACATTTAGGAGGGCTGTTTATTTCTATCATTGGAATGGAAGTTAGGCTGAGGAACACCTAAAACATAGTCTCAACTGGAAGTATAGTCCAACCCAGTAGTAGCTCAGTCCTATAATCCCAGCACAGGGACAGGAGAATTATGAACTGCAGTCCAAACTGAGCTGCATGGCAAGACGCTAAGAAAGGGAAAGGAAATGAAAGGACATGAGAAGGAAGGAGGGGGAAGGAGAGGAAAGAGAGGAGGATGTGAATAGAAGGAAGTGAGATGGAGAACAAGAAGGAAAGAGGGAGGAGGAAAGAGGGAGAAGGGAGAAATGAGAGAATCAAAGAAAAAGGAAAGAAAGGGGAAGAAAAAGGAAATAAAAGGAGGAAAACAAGAAGAAAAGGGTAAGATGGTGGAAAAGAAAAGAGAAAAGAAATGAAGGAGAGGACAGAGGTGAGAAATGGGGAAGGGAGGCAGAAAATAAAGGAGGGGAAACAGGGAGAGGAAAGAAAAGGAAGCAGGACCCGAATAGTGTTTTTAAAAGCAGACATATTTATAGAAACAGCAAGGCATTTGAAACAGTACGTTTTGAAAGAACCATTGTATTCTTAATGCTATAGAATCATTGGGATTCAGGATGTGTCCATATTAAACAACCACTATCAGTGCAAGGTGCAGTCCCTACAGAGGACTGTTGTGGAATAATTGTTTAACTATGCAAAAATGTGTCTCATTTGTTTAACAATGTAAAGACATGCTGTATTTGTTAATGTTGAAGAATATTTGTTTAACTGTGTAAAGACGTATTGCATTTGTTTAATTATTTAAAGATGTGTTGCTGTTTTACCTTGCCTGCCTAAAGCACCTGATTGGTCTAATAAAAAGCTGAACAGACAATAATGAGGGAGGAGGTATAGGTGGAACTTCTGGACAGGGAGAGTAAATAGGAGGAGGAATTTAGTTTGGGGCAGAAAAGAAAAAAGTGGCAACATGGAGTAGGGGAGGGACAACAAGAGCAGCCAGTCAGACAAGGAGGAAGCAGGAAAGTAGGACATACTGAATGAAAGAGAGGTAAAAATTCCCAAGGCAAGATGTAGATAAGTAAAAACAGGGTAAATGAAGTTAAAAGAGCTAGTGGGACAAGCCTAAGCTAAGTCTGAGTATTCATAATTAGTAATAAGACTCCATGTCTTTATATGAAAGCTTGTTGGCAGGCCCAAGAAAATTCCAACTACAGAGGACACATTTCCTATATTAGATAAATGTATTCTGCATAGTTTTAGCCAAGTAAGAGTGATTTCAGTATGATGAGACATTTAGGGTTAGCTTATTCACCTAGCTAACACAATACATGGGACAGACCCAATGCAATCAAGGTTTTACATGAATGAAAGTGTAACTTTAAAAGATTTATGTTTTTATTTTTGTGTGTGTGTGTGTATGTGCATCCACATATATACTGTATTCTTCAAGGCTAGAAGAGGATATTGAATCCCCTGGGGCTGGAACTACAGTTGGTTGTGAGCCACCCAATATGTATGCTGAGAAGTAAATTCGGATCTTCTGCAAGAGCAGCAAGCACTCTTACTGGATAAGCTCTCTGTCCCTGAAAATGTAAAACAGAACAAAATCCCTGGACATCATGGCTCATGACTGTAATCCCAGAACTTGAGAGACTGAGACAAGAAGATTGCTGTGAGTTTGGGATCAGCCTAGGCTACACATAAGTCTTGAACAGCCAGAACCACAGTGTGAGATGCTGACTCGTGAAAACATTCCATGAAGTATTTTGAACTGCAGCAATCTAGAGCCTTATATTAATCATGCTCACTTGGCCATACTTCCTGTGCCCACTCCCTTCCTGCATTATACAATACTGAAAGCTGAGGCCAAGAAGATAGAATTGTAATAAATGCCTTTTATAAATAAAATTTTAACCAAAAAGCCGCAGTACATGGAAAATGAAGAAACCCAGTGAACATCTATAGTAGTTTTATAGACAATAAAGAGTTCTGGGGTTTTATATCTTTGCTTGCTTCTATATCTTAGTTGTTCCTTCAAACTTGTAAATTATGAAAATAGATTTGACTCCAAACCCAGTCTTGAGTCCCAAGCTTTATCTTGATATTACAGTTTTATTTTTTTAAAAAGTTGTTTAGAATAAAATGCCCAGCAAAATGGTGAATAGGGATGACAAAACAAAGAAAAACAAAGCAGCAATATGTAATTGTGTTTAATAGTTATTCATTATATGGGAGGTCTGTTTAAGGATAGTATCTAGGAGGCACTTACTCTGTGGGTTTCCTTAATAATTAAACTGACCTAGACTAGCACTACCAAAAATAAAAATATCACATAAAGGGAACATATTTACAATATTGCTATTTGTAAAGGCAGTAAAGCAAAAGAAAATATTATCAAATAGTACACATTCACACCTTAATAATGACGCTGGAACTACCAATGGCCTCTGTGCATTGTGCCATTTTTCCACGACTGTAACTACCATCTATCATCAAAGGAAGGATGAGATTAAAGGCAATGGTACTGTGCTGAATTGTCTGAATCCAGTGCCCTGCATATGGGGAAAGTGCATTTAATTCAGCAGCAATACAGTACATTATAAGATACTATGCTTAGACACAGATACTCCAGAAAAGACAGTTTACATCACAGAAACCTGTGGTAGAATATTATTTTAAGGTGTGTGATTTTTGTTTATGCTGCATTTGTTTAACTCTGTGAAGCTGTGGTTCTTTGCATGTCTAAACCACCTGATAGTCTAATAAAGAACTGAATGGCCAATAGTAAGACAGGAGCAAGGATAGGTGAGGTTGACAGGCAGAGAGTGTAAATAGAAGAAGAAACTTGGAAGAGGAGCAACAAGGGAATGAGAGAGGAAGGAGGAGGACTTCAAGGGCCAGCCACTCAACTACACAGCTAGACACAGTAAGGAAAAAAAGGTATATAGGCATAAAGATAAAAGCCCCAAGGCCAACAATAAATGGAATAATTCAAGTTAAGAAAAGCTGGCAAGCAACAAGACAAACTAAGGCCAGGGGTACATAACTAAGAATAAGCCTCTGTGTGTGATTTATTTGGGAGCTGGGTGGTGGGCCTCTCAAAAAAAAAAAAGCCAAAAGAGTAAGAAACATTTTACACTACAAAAGAAACCAGGTCTCTTTGCAAACAAATTTGAATTCTTTTCAATTTCTATTCCACAAGTTCCAATGAATGTAGATGGAGTTTTCTGTTTCACCTGATCCCGCCGCCCTTCAGTCCCAAACAAACACACAGATTTCTATTAATTATAATAGAAACATTTCTATTAAACTATGTATCTCCATGTAGTCTTGGCCTACTGGAGAATTCCCTGGACCTGTTACTACTTTGGTGGCTACCTGGCAATACATTATACTTAACATAAGCTTCTGTGTACTTATTTGGGACTGAAGGACAGCAGGACTAGGAGGAACAAAAACTCCACCTACAAATGGTTCCCAACGTTGACGATGGATAGTTATGGTTATGATAAAAGATAAGTTACATGTTAAACTTTAGACTCACAAAGATAGGATAGATGATAGAATATTTTCTTAAAATTTTGTCAAATGTTAATGGACTAAATATTGTTAAATATAGTTCTTACTTGATAACTGCTTTATTATATATAATTTACTATGCTAAAGTTAAAGCCTTCCTTTTGTTTAGACAGAAAAGAGGAGATGATGAGGGATGTCCTGTATGCTGTTAATATGTTTCCCTTAATTGGTTGATGAATAAAACACTGATTGGCCAGTAGCCAGGCAGAAAGTATAGGTGAAGCTACCAGAATTCTGGAGAGAAGACCTACCTCTAGAAGGCTTAGAAGGTGAAGATAGGCATAACCTGGAAAGGCTGAGGAGGTCCTAAGTGACATTCTGTTCTAAATTATTGTGTAGCCTTGCCCCCACCTGTCTAGGAAAATCTGTCTCTGACAGAGAAAATTCTTGTGCTTTAAAAATTCAATAAAGATGAACCTGAATTTCCAATTCTAGATAGATCAATACATAGATGATACATAATAATATAGGATAGATTATAATAATAGATAAATAATAGATTGAAGGTAATAATTATAATAGTTTTCCATCAGTAAACAAATGAATGAACACCACATGGTATGTGCCTATTTTAAAAAAGGGGGTGGATGGGGAGGAAGAAAAAAGTTCTGGCATACTTTTCAAAAGAGGAGAAACTGGAAAAAAGGTGTGTCTAGTGAAATAAGTCCAACACAAAAGGCCACAATCTTCCACGTGAGCAGTTGCAATGAACAAACTCCACGAGGACGGAAATCAGAGGAGAAATTACAGCCAGGGTGAGGCAGTCATGTGGAGTCATTGCTTGCTGTATGCCTCATTTTTATTTGAAATGACAAAGAATTTCCAGGTAAGATACTGAGAGTGGTTAAACAGTCTTGCAAATACACATATACACTTGGAATGTTAGGTGGTAGGTTATATGCAATGTATATTTTTTCACAATAAAAACGATAATAATCCACCATTTTCCAGGCCTGCCAAGATGGAACTGTACACCAAGTTCCTGTTACAACAGCAAAGTCAAACACAGCAAGCAAAGGAAGAATGATTCCTAAAGATGTTCAAGTCACTCACAACAAGGAGCAGAAGCTGAGGGACAAAAAACTACCAGAAAACAAAATACAAAGTAAATGGGAAATATGGCATAGTAATAGTTACCTTGGAAGATGAGGTGGCATGTACTTACAGTCCCAGTAGCTGGGAGTCTGAGACAAGAAGATTGCCACAAGTGTGAAGCCAATCTCAACTACATAGTGAGTTTTAAGCCAACCTGTGGTACACTGTGAGATCCTTTCTCAAACAAACATAAAATAAATGGTCTGAAACTGGGTGGTGCTGGTGCATGTCTTTAATCCATCAGAGGCAGGTGGATCTCTGAGTCCAAGGCCAGCCTGACCTACAGAGTAAGTTCCAGGACATGCAGGGATACACAGAGAAACCCTGTCTCAAAAACAAAACAAAAAGGTCTGACTACATCAATCAAAAGACAGAATTTGGAGGAGGTGATTTAAAGACAATTTGATAGGCTGTGGCCATTACAGCCTGAACTAGCAAGATCTCATCTAAAGGTGACCTCTCCATGTTCTATTTGCAAAAATTCAAGAACAGCACAGGAAGTCTGGAAACTGGAAAAGAAACTCTACACACATCAACCGCAAAGAACAAGAGTTGCCTTGCCTTTGTCTACTCACCAGCTATTGGGCTCACCCTGAGGCTACTAATGGTTGTTTTGGTTTGTTTTTTAAACTCTGTGTGTTCTCTATAATGACTGTACTAACTGGTATTCTCACCATCAATATGAAAGAGCCCTCCTCCCTGTGTCTGCAAGCGCCCAACGTGTATTACTTTTATGTGTCTTGATAAGAGTCCTGTTAACTAGAGGTAACATTCCATGGAGTTTCTAATTCGTATTTCCCTCTTGTTTGGTGGGGATTGTGATTAGGGACTCTCCCACCGTTTTAATCATTTGCATATCCTGTTTTTGATATGCCAAACCTTTTGTTCTTAGCTGGATGCTCTGGTTTTCTCCACTGAGCAGCTTGGGGGACTCTCTTATCCCCAACTTCAGGCCCGCCATGGATAAGTTACCTGCCAATGCTTTCTCCCATTCTGCAGACTGTCACTTTGCAGTTGTCCCCTTTCCTGTACAGAAGCTTCATAGTTTGATTTAATCCTGGTTGTCAATTTTTACTTCTGTTGCCTAGCATTTGGGGTCATGGTCCCAAAATTTTTTGCTCTGGCCTGCATCTTATTTTCCTTGGGCAAGTCTAGTCATTCTGCCTTTGAAGATCTTGTACTTCAATCTTGACCCAGTATGATGACATATGGGTGTTCTGCACAAGTACTGAAGGTCATGCTCTGAAGCAGAATAAGAAAGAGAAGGCCAATTATTAGATAGTGGCTCGCTGATTTACTTAAAGCACTGCTTGTATTGCCCATTTGGCAATCATACTTTCATTTGCTTCCTGGAACAAAATGACTTGAAAAAGAAGGCCAAACAGTGGGTTGGTGTGAAAGGTTCAGGCATTACACCGGCCTGCCTGGTGGGTCTGAGCAGGTCTCTTGGGTTTTAGACCCTGGTACTGACTGTTCATTCGTTTCTTAGACCTACGTGGTCACACATCTTTCTGCCTCACTCGTGGAGAAAAAAGGCCACTTCTGCTAGCAGACGGAAATGTGCCTATCTTGGCTATCTTAACCATGTGCCTACCTTGAAAACATGTTTACAGTGACCTACCTGTAGGCACACTCACTAAGTCTAGTCAGCTTCTGCTGGCCAAGCCTGCTCTCAGATACAATTCATTTACTTTTTGTCTCTTTTATGCTTTTTATTTTTGCCTCTAATTTCTTCCTTTACTGGCCCTGTTGCGTATGGCTTGTTTATGGAATACTGTGCCTTTCCAGGGTCCCCTGTTCTATCTGCAGCAAATCTTCCTTCTCATCACTGACTATCTCTTTAAATCTGTCTGTTTGCTACAAGTGTGGATCAAAAAATTACACTCTGGTTCTTCCTTCTTACTTTTATCCAGTCCTTTTTAATGTATCTATATGTGCGTGTATATGTAGCCACTATTAAGGAATGTAAGGTAACTTTATATACAATTTAAATTCAACTATACTAAATATCAAATACTTCTAAATTGTTATATTTTTAAATGATGGTAAACATTTAAAGTTATAAAGGTCTACTTCAAAATAACAAAATATTTATAGCACCCAGCCCTTCCTGTAAACTGTTTACAAAGATAAGACAATTACAAAAGATTTTTCTCTAGTCACTTACGTGCTTAAGGTAAGTCACTAAAGATAAATTTTATCTGCTAAGTATACTAAACAGACAAACAGCCCTCAAATGCTCAGAGATCTAGAGAACATGGCATTTAAATGTTTTATTAAAAAGCTTTTCATAACAGACAGGCCAGCTGCTGGCACCACCCCCCCCATTCCCTCCAAGAAGACTGGTGGGCACTGAAGAAACTCCACCCACAAAGTGACAATGCTGGCCACTAAGTAACCTTGCCTTCACCTCAACTGCTTCAAAGGACTCTTCACTGGACAAGAGGACACTGGAATCGACTTTTCTCCACGTTCCTCGGGTCAACAGTAGGAAAGCCTTCCTAAAAAGTCCCCAACCCATGGGTCTCATGCTATCAGCAGAAGGCAGGTGTCCTTGGAGCCTCTGACTTCAACAATTGTGGAGGACTTTGGGTGTGGTTGTCCACGCAGTCAGCTAGTAAGTCTCTCATTCTCTAGTCTCAGGTAAAATCTTATCCTTCTCAAGAGCTCTGATGCTTTTGATGATTGGTAGCTTTGCCAGCTTAAAGTAACAGACAAGGCAAAGCTGTCATAAAACAGATTTCAGAAACAGGTATTCTAAGGTTTATCTACATAAGATGGTAATGTAATAAAGTAAGTTAAGACATTAAAAAGAATAAAATACGTTCTAGCTTTCTCTCTTTCATTATGCTACTGTTGATACTCTTAATATACCACTATACGATCAAAACTATAAGCTCAAAATTAAAGTACTTTTCATTGTGCTAAAAATATCTGTCAGTTTTTAAAATGTTAATGGTTTCAGTCAAGTTGTTTCTAACACAAATAGGCTGCTTATATGCCTAATACTTGTGTTTTCACAAACTCAAAGGATTCTTGTAAGTTCCAGGGAGCCGAATTGGACCCACCCAAACAGGTCAGATTCACTCCACATATTGTTCAATCTCTCCCTTGTCCCGGGATTCCCTTCCCTCATCTTGGGACCCCTCAGGCACCCCTCCCTCATCTTACAATCTTCCCCTCAAATACCAGGACCCAAGAAAAAATGTTTTAACCTGTCTTTGTCCTCTACTCTGCTAACATCTTACCAGGTCTAAGAGGCTCCAAAGAGTTCCACACAGCCTGAACTACAGTGGAGCAACCAACTACTCAGGACATAGCAACACCCCACCTTTCTCAAGTTCCCCCAAAGATAATTGCTGCTCCCAGGTCAGCAGGAAGCAGTCTTAAGAATTCAACATCCTTGTTCCCTAACCTGCCACATCTAATACCCCACCTCTTTTTAATCATAAACAAAGGCGGGAATGAAAAGTTCAGGCATTACGCTGGCTTGCCTGTTACCTGGCAGAATGCACTCAGGGAGCACTTTGGCCAGCCCAGAGTTCCATGAGAACCAGTCTGCACGCAGGTGCAAAGGACCCCTTTAAAGGACTGACCCCTGCCCACTTACACTCTCTCGTCTTTCTCTCTCTGTCATGTCTGTCTACCCCCTTTAGGTCTCACTATAATAAACAATGGTTAACGTGCTCTCCTTGGCTTGTGCTCCATCCATCGTGCCGGTCCTTATTCCATAATTAACAACACAGTGCTCTTAACAACCTGCCAACTGCCACATAAGCTTTTGTAAAATTGCATTTGCTTATCCACTCCATCTTGGGGTTTTAGAGTATAGAATGTAAATTGGACCCAGACCAAGGTCTTTCAGGAGCTCTCCTGGCTTGGGTTCACCAGTGACATCTTCTATTGTCCACTCTCATTGGCATTAGAGAGTGCTTATCCAGAACGTCCCCCCACATACACACATTTCCTGATGTCCACCAGCCAGACCTCCTGCACCATAACTCCAGCTGATCTGCAGAGGCTGCAGCCCTCGGGCCTCTCAGCCGAACGGAGGTCCCTGGAACCAGGAAGCCATGCCTCTGGTGGGATTCTGATGCCCCCTTCCAGTGGGCAAGCAGTGGATGAGACCGGGGACCAGAGTCTCTAAGTGGAAGAAGATGCAACTGGGCAGTGAAGACAGGCAGGGAAAGCTCAGCACAGGCTTAACTACCCTGCAGGAGAGTATTGCCTGAAGAGGAGGGAGAGCCCCTCCCTCATTGTGGGGAAATTGTGAAGGAGACTTTTTTCTCCTCCGAAGCCAGACTTAAAGAACTAGCCACTCCCCAATTCAGATATAGAAACTTTTACTGAGGCAGCTGAAGCCTACAACATGGGGAAGAACCTCTCACATCAAGAGACTCAAAGCAGCAATATATGGAGAAAGGGGACTTCTTACCTCAGGAAGCAAAGATTTTAAAACAGAGATCAAATCTTATGGCTCTTAGGAGCTGCCTGGACCACCGGCTGTGGCAGTGGGGTCTGCCAGGTTCACAGGGAGTCAGGATTCAGTGAGTGGGGAAGAGCACCTAGCAAAGAAAGCAACCAGGCAAAGCACTCTCCATGAAGACAGCTCTGCAGTGTCCTTGCACACAAAGTATGTTTTATACTCTCGCTACTCCTAAGAGCTCCTCTCGTATAAGTCAGAAGAAAGGAAAAGAACAACTGATAAAGGGAAGAAAATCAGGAAGGCTGGCTGATTACCACAGATAGGAAAATAATAATCCCTGCAACCACAGGTCAGCCTAGTTTGGCAAGCTCACAAAACAACTCCTTTGGAAAAAACTGCCTATGTTACTCGAGGTTCTCTAGAGTAACAGAACTTAAAGAAAGACTCTCTCTCTCTCTCTCTCTCTCTCTCTCTCTCTCTCTCTCTCTCTCTCTCTCTCTCTCTCTCCTCCCTCCCTCCCTCCCTCCCTCCCTCCCTCTCTCTCAGATACAGATATAGACATAGACATAGATATAAATCATTCTGTAAGTTCATTCTCAATCACTCTCTATATATGTTCATTCTATAAGATTCATTCTAGCCAGGCAGTGGTGGCACATTCCTTTAATCCCAGAACTCGGGAGGCAGAGGCAGGCGGATCTCTGTGAGTTTGAGACCAGCCTGGTCTACAAGAGCTAGTTCCAGGACAGCCTCCAAAGCCAAAAAAGAAAAAAGAAAGAAAGAAAAAGATTCATTCTATATATATAGAGAAAGATAGGATAGTAGATAGATAGACAGACAGACAGACAGACAGATAGATAGGGGGATTCATACATATAAAGGGGATTTAGTAGAATGATTTACAGGCTGTGGTTTAGGTAATCCAACATGGGTGGCTATGAGCAGAAAGTCAAAGGATCCAATAGTTTCTCATCATGAGACTGGATGTCTCAGCTGGTCTTCAATATGTGCCAGAATCCCAAGGAAGCAGATTCCAATGCCAGTGAAGGAGAGGGCTTGCTAGTGAGGCAAGCTAGTGAGAACAAGCAGACAAGGAGTCAAAGCTTCCTTCTTGCATGTGCTTACATAGACTTCCAGCAGGACTGGTCCAGATTAGAGCTGTACTTTTCCACCTTAAGATCAAAATTAAAGGTGTGTCTTCCCACCTCAAAGAGCTTGATTAGAAGTGATCCTTCCCATTTCAAATCAAGCAAAAATCCCTCACAAGTGTGTCACTCCATTTTGGGGTTTTAATTAATACCTAATGTAGTCAAGTTGACAAGCAAGAAAAGCCATCCCACTATCCTCCAAAAATGGTTACAAAGATATTTGGTGACCCTGAGGTTACCAGCATTGACCCAAAAAGTTAGCAAATCCTGTCTTCAGTGTGCTTGGAACAATGTCAAGCAGGAGCTCGAGGCCCCATGGTGACATACAAACCAGGGTCCCGCCCATGTGAACATATGAAAGTGGGCTTTACTGATATCAGCCTAGCAGAGGGGACCAAATTTTGTTGCTTATGGTATGCACTTTTCAACTGGAGTAGAATCTTTTCCTACTTGCACAGAAAACTAGCTTGGAACTTGCCCATGCAATACCACCCACAATGGTAAGGCAAGGTCGGAAGAATACATGGGAGTTTTAAAATGTCACTGGCAAACATTACTAAGAAACAGACCTCCTTTCGCCAGAAATTCTGTCACTTTTACTGTTTAGGAGGCATTGCATGCCCTGTAAAAGCAGTTATTTTTCTTTTGAGATCATGTTTGGTCTCCCACCTCCACTGTTTCCAAAGGACTCAGGGAACCTCTGAGAGTATGGACACACCTGCTTCCAGCAGTTCTTGAAAGTTCTTGGCTGATACTACACATATAATGTTTAATCCTCACCATTCTCTAGCTCATAAAGTCCTATCCATGGGTATGCCGCGCCCATGCCAAGGCTGCTGTGGACCAGAGACAAGAGTGAACTTCAAGTGCTGACCCGGACCAGCCTCTGAAACTGAGCATCCCCCAAAAAAACTGAGAATGGGAGTGATGACCCAGCTCCTTCCTTGTCTCATGATGTCCTTCCTGATGTTTTCTAAAAATTTTATTCTATTTTTGTTTTATGTGCATTAATGTTTTGCCTACATGTGTGGCTGTGTGAGAGTGCCGGATTCCTTGGAACTGGAGTTACAAACAGTTGTGAGCTGCTGTGTGGGTCCTGGGAATTGAACCTGGATCCTCTGGTGCTCTTAACCTCTGAGCCATCTCTCCAGCCCTGTCCTTCCTGATCTTGATGCACATCAGAATCTCTGACCTTGTCAAATAAATTAATCTGGAGAGAACCTTGTCCCAAAGCAACTCCAATTCCTGGACACCCATCAATATATCTAATTGCCCCAAGAGGGGTTCTGCATTACTTCCTTCAGGAGGTGTTGCTTGGGACTAGGCCAGCCAGAGATCACCCCTTGGACCACACCTCGATGCCCATGCTAGAATAACAGCCTGTGATTCCTTTTGGAGAATGTACCAATGAGTGACACCTTTAGACAAGTTGCCAGAGGACAAAAGGATGATTGTGGGGGAGTCTATTGATCTTATCTTAAATACTGGTCATGTGTGGACTTTAAGGAACCTGGAAGGGAGTGCCCACAGAGGGACAAAGAGTTAAGGCTGTAATGGGCCTTGGTGGAGGAATAACATGGGAACTGACCATGGAGAATTCTTTCATGTGTGAAAGTCATGTCTCAAAATGCTGGCTTTAGTAAATGCCATTCATGGGCTCTTCAGCCTAGGTCAGGCCTACTGGATGTGACGGTTACTTCTATTGGAGTGAGAAAGACTAGCCAAAGTCTAACTTAAAACACAAAATGGATGTGTTTAACTGGGCCACCTATTCAGTTCATAGGAAAAGACTATGTGTGGAAAATAAAAAGGTTTGTACCAGACTAGTTAAAAGAACAGTAGTTCACCGGGAGGTAGTGGTACAAGCCTTCAATCCCAGTACTTGGGAGGCAGAGACAGACAGATCTCTGTAAGTTCTAGGCCAGCTTGTCTACAGAGCTAGTTCCAGAACAGGTTCCAAAGCTAGAGAAACCCTGTTTGGAATAAAGAAGGAGGAGGAGGAGTAAGAAGGAGAAGGAGAAGGAGGAGAAGGAGAAGGAGAGTAGTTCCTGCCAAGAGACATATGTGAACTAGTGTTCTTGGCACCTGACTTAGATGTGCTCCTAGAAAACGAGATCCAGCAATATTTGTATCCCTTAGATTCAAGAAATAAGAAAATTCCTTTTTCTAGT